GAAAAAAAAACATAGTGCAGTTGGCTTAGAGAAGTCCGCAAGCCCAGCTACACATTAGAATCACCTGAAAAGTGTTTAAAACTACAGGTGCCAATCCCAACCCAGAGATTCCAATTTATTTGGTTTGTGGTGAACCCCAAGTGTCAATATTTTGTAAGATCCCAGTTGACTCTTATATAAAGTCAGATTTGAAAACCAGGAGCTGGGAGTATAAACAATGTAAAATAGACAAATTGTGAATGTCCTGGAACACATAAGGAGTTTTAGTTTGTTTAGATTGGAATGCAAGTACATGAAAGTATTTTAAACAGCAGGGGTGAAATAATCAGAACTAAGCTTTAGGAAGATTCATCTCACACCTGTGTCCCGGGGCAAGTACACCTAGAGGTGGAGAGGCAAATTAGGAGACTGGCCCAAAGTCAAAGGAAGTCAAAAGGAGGAGAGACTTTTTTGGATAAAGAAGGGAAAGTTGAAGAGGAGAGGTTTGTTTAATTTTGATTTGTTTGTGTTTGTGGTATCTGTGGTATATGTAGGTACAAATGTTTACTAGATAATGGAATACATGGAGCTAGAGCTCAAAAGAGAGGTCTGGGATAGAGACATAGAGTTTAGAATCACACGGATCAGTGGCATTAATTAATAACTGTGAAAGTGTAAGAAGAGAAAAGGACCAAAGACTAATCCCTCAGGAATGCCCACATCAAAGGTCTCAGTACATAGCATCAAATAAAAAGCAAATGCAGCAGTGAAATTGATAACTGGATAAGCCTGTTGAATTTGAAATTAGTAAATCATTGACAAAACTGCTTCATTAGAATGGGTAGAGTAGAATTAAGATTAGAAGAAGCTGATGAATAAATGGACTACCAGGAAGTAGAACAAATATTAAACCAAAACCTCAGTTTCCTCATCTGTAAAATGGGACAAAAACACTCCATTCCACAGGAGGTGTTGGTGAGCTGAAATGAAGCAATGTTTAAAGCACTTAGCTCAGCGTCAGGAGCTCTAATCACAAATTATTGTTGTTATTGGCATCATTGTATAAGAAGATGGGTGGTAGCTTCAGGGACTAGTAATACCGTATCAGCATTTGGTTTTGCTTCATTTGATGTTGTTTTAGGTTGAGCAATCATTGATTAGAACCATACGTAAAGAAGAAGACAACAATACAGATGAAGAAATTGAACATTTCAGACAGAGAAGCATGATCCTAAAGGAAGTAAGAGTGAATAAGGGTAAAGACAGAGGAACTAACTTTGGAAAGAAAGGGGTTCATTTTTCTTTTGAGTTTGGCAGGAAAGAGGATATTTAAAGACCTAAGATAGTTGTTAATAGAAGAAATATAAAGAAGCAATGGGAGCATGAAAGAAATATACTGAAAAATTTTACATCAAATTGCCTCAATCTTTTGTGAAAAAAATAGAAGGTATGATCTATGAGTGAGGATAGTGGAGTTATAGTGGATATTGTTTTCAATTGAAAAGCTTACAATAAATCCTGAAGATGCAATAAAATATTAGTTAAGAGACAACTGAGTAGTATTGAGGACCCAGCTGAGGGCAGTATAAATTTTCATTAAATCGTGATAGCATGATTTTTAAACAACCTTGGAATCCTGGAGTGAGAACAGAGTAAGACGATGGCTACCTAGCTTTGGAGGTCAGCAAAGAAGTATGGGATAAACCCAAAAGGGTAAAAAGTAAATTATAGGGATTAGCAAAGCACTTTAAAATGGTTCCCTATGGAAAGAAGTAAATTAAGCCAATCAGGGTGAAGTACTGGATAAATAGGGCAGATTAAAGGAATCATAAACCACAATGAAGACTAAAGAAAAATACAAATTGAATTGATTCAGCAGGTGAGAAGAAATGAGTATAGGGAAAAGATCATTGTGAGTTCTGATTCCAGTGATCGCTATGAAATCTGAAATCTAAAAATGTTCTTACTCTATTTTACCTTATGAGAAAATGACTTCAGGTAATAATGAAAAGAATGTGGCTCCAGCCACACTGACTTTATTTCAGGTCCTTAAATATGTGATGCTCCCTCTAACCACAGGATCTTTCCACATGCTATCTCCTCTGCCTCATTCAGTGCCACCCTCCCTCACCTAGTTAACTCATACTCATTCTCCAATTTTTTTTTTTTTTTGAGACAGGGTCTCAGTCTGTTGCCCCAGGCTAGAGAACAGTGACACAATCACAGCTCACTGCAGCCTTTACTTCTTGGGCTTAAGCAATCCTCCCACCTCAACTTCCCATATAGTGGGACCACATGTGTGAGCCCCTATGCCTGGTGATTTTTTTTTATTTTTAGTAGAGACAAGGTCTCTCTACATTGTCAAGGCTGATCTCAAACTCTTGGGCTCAAGTGATCCTTCTGACTCAGCCTCACAGACTGCTGGGATTACAGGTGTGAGCCATATGCCTATAAATGGGCTTAATAATAATTCTTAAGATAAAGCACCTGACCTCATCTTTCATTTCTGAATTTAAGTGTGACTTCCCCCAACAAGCCTTTCATGACCTCTCAGACAAAGATATGTTTTCATGGTGCTATGTAGCTCTCTTTCCAGGACTTATTACAGTTGCAATTCTAAATCCATTTCTCTGATTATTTCATTACTATCTTGCACAAAGGAAGAATTAAAAGACACTTAGTGAATTGATGTGGTATTTGAAAAGATATGAGCTATAAGAAATCAATTTGCCTGAGGGATTTTTAAGCAATAACTACAAAAGACTTTCTTATATAATGGAGAACTGTACTGGTCAAATTACCTCCCTAGTACTCCTTTTTGAGAAATTCTTCATAGTTTATGATGCATATTTTAAAATTTATTTACTCTTTGAGGGTAAAATTCAGGTTTGGCAACATCAAATGTTATCATTTGTTGATTTTGCCTTATAGAAACCCAAAGTGTAGAAAGGTGGGTAAACAAGCAGTGTAACAACACCATTTTGGTCTGAAACTGAGCTATGATCTTAAAACAATGAGATACATTCTTAAGTGGTTTTTAATCTGCATCCAAAAACAATTACCATAGGGGTTATGCCCATAATTAAACATTTCCATGAGGGTCTTCCAGCTTCTGGTTCATTGTCCTTAAAAAAATCATATTTCTTTAATGTTACATCTAATATACTTACCTGTTTCCTTTGGAACCTGGGAGCTAAATGAATGGTGAACATTAGCATGCATGGCAGTTCTCTGTATTTTGTTGAAAACTGTATCTCTGTATTTGGAAAACTGTAGTAGCTCCTGTATTGTTATTACCACGATTATTATTCTTAAGCTCTGTATTTCCCAAGCTACTCTAGCTGAGGGATAATGACATATTACAATGACAGTCACAAATCATGGCTCTGCCTCTACTTACTCTGTAGAAATTCCAATCCCCTTCATACATCTTCCAAATAGCTCTGGGGGTCCACAAGGAGAATTTCCCATATGTTCTTTAGCTATGCTGTGGCATTCACCATCCCCCTTTCCCCAACCCTCTTTCTACTCCTGTCTCTTTGACCAGGTATCCTACAAACGCTAATGCCAGAAAGTCACAATCCCACCAAGGGCGCAAATGATGCTCGTGCCTGCCAGAAACACTGCTTCAGGTTCCAATGTTTACCCATAGTAGCATCAAGTCTGCCACTATTCATTTTGGATGGAGCTAATATCTGCAACAAGGGCACTGGCTTTGTCTTTGCTACTGAAACCACTGGCACAGTCTACTGCCTCCTACTGTCTCTGCAGGAGTGGCTGGCACCACTGCTGCTGATGCAAGGCATTCTCATCCACTTAAGAAACTGGAATGAAACAGCCCTTTTAGCTTTTACTCATGTCATTACAGTGCCTCAGGCTAAGACTCAGGCAAGATTCCAGATGGGCTGGGACAGAGGACAACCCGAATTATAACATATATTCTACGTTTAGAAAACCCTCTCCACTCTCACCATAGCCAATTATGTTTTAAACCAAGCAAAAAATAAAATAAAATAACATTGAAATGTTATTTGGGACATGTGGAAGGAGAAGGGAAGGAGTTTGATTATTTGTTTATAATTAACTACATACAATTTTAACATAAAACTACAGTTTGAGGATGAGGGTGTTAATATATATAGCTCACCTAAGCATTATTAGGTTCTGGGGCCAAGGATGTCATTGGTAGATTATTTATAGGTGATGAAATTGAGGTAACAAAACAAATTAAAATACATTATATAAATCCATTAAAACTATCTTGCACTTATTCTAACTCAGCTTTTATCTATTTAATAATATTCATTGTAAAGGAATATAAGTAATTTACATTTAATTTGTTATATTTAATACCCCTCATAATGATTGTGCTTACATAAAATCTACAGATACTAGTAGTAGTTAGTATTTATCTAACACATACTACTTGCCAAGCACTGTAATGTATTTGTGGATTATTTTATTTCATTCTCACAAACCTTCTAGATAGCTTCTATGATCAGCTGCATGTTACAGATGAGGAAACTAAGGCTTAGAAAAAATAAATGATCTTCAAAGATACACAAAGCTGGTAAACAAAGAAGCCAGGAATGAAAGTCAGTCCTTAGTGTCTATGCTTGTAATAACCTCGTCTTAAAATTATTGGACACTGCTGCGGCTTGAGGTGAAGGAGCAGAAATGATGAACTCATCCTAAGGAGACGGCCTGGTTGATATCCGGACTTTCACTGGCCTACTATGGTTGATTATCTTGTTATAGGTTTATGTATGCACAGGGGACAATTAGAGGACATTTGAAAATTGCCAAGACAACTAGAAGTTGAGGGACCAAAACCTCAGAAAATAGAGGCACAGAGAAGTACACTAACGGGCTACAAGTGGCTTTTCCCTCTGGGACATTTGCCTCTTATGATATAGGGAGAGAGACTGGCAAGCGAGGCAGAGGGCTCTGGATAGGAGGGAGAGAAGCAACAGAGTTTTTGGCAAACTCACAAGACTAGAAGAAAAATAAATGGAGTTTGTGCTCACTTCAGCTGTACATATACTGAAATTGGAATGATACAGAGAAGATTAAAATGTCCCCTGCGCAAGGATGACAAGCAAATTTGTGAGCGCTCCATATTTTTCAGTGAGATACTGTCTCACACTAGTCAGAATGACGATTACTAAAAGTCAAGAAACAACAAATGCTGGCGAGGCTTTGGAGAAATAGGAACATTTTTACACTGTTGGTGGGAATGTAAATTAGTTCAAGCATTGTGAAAGACAGTGTGGCAATTCTTCAAGGACCTGGAACCAGAAATACCATTTGACTCAGCAATCCCATTACTGGGTATATATCCAAAGGAATATAAATGATTCTACTATAAAGATACATGCACACGTATGTTTATTGCAGCACTATTTACAATAGCAAAGACATGGAACCAACCCAAATGCCCATCAATGATAGAGTGGATACAGAAAATGCGGTACATATACACCACGGAATACTATGCAGCCATACAAAAGAATGAGATCATGTCCTTTGCAGGGACATGGATGAAGCTGGAAGCCATCATCTTCAGCAAACTAACACAGGAACAGAAAAACAAACACCACATCTTCTCGCTCATAAGTGAGAGCTGAACAATGAGAACACATGGACACAGGGAGGGGAGCAACACACACCAGGGCCTGTCGGGGGGTGGGGTGGATGGGAGGGACAGCTTCAGGATAAATAGCTAATGCATGTGGGGCTTAAAACCTAGGTGATGGGTTGATAGGTGCAGCAAACCACCATGGCACACTTATACCTATGTGACAAACCTTCACATTCTGCACATGTATCCCAGAACTTAAAGTAAAATTTTTAAAAAAGTAATTGGATCAAATCAATAAGGAAATAAATGGAGTTTGAGGCTGTTAAGAGAACCAGAACTTTAATGACCAACATCTCAGCCCAGAGAGAAGAGAGAAAGTAAAGTGAGCTGGATACTCTGCTATTTTCCACCATAAACATTTGCTGAATTCATCTGTTGTGTGAAGCAACAGCCTAAGTAATAAGCTAAGTAGAAAGCTACTGAACAGTGGAGCCAAGTTTTCAAGCAGTTTCTTAGTTCTGAGTTTCCACAAAACAGGAGAGGGTCTAGTAAACACAGCTGCTCTTAGTTGAGATCCCTAACAAGCTATACCCCAGGCCTAACACAAAATTTAGATTGAAACTCCAAAAGAAAAAAAGAAAAAATCTTGCAACCCAAGCAAAACTCAGCTCAGTCCCAGATTGGATCAAGGCACTCTGTTCTTAAACAGATTGCCCACCAGAGGCCAGAATGAATCCACTCTATAGGAGAATAATATCATCCAGAATTGCTATAATTTTTAATATACAATGCCCAGTAGTTTCTCAAACATAATGTCCAGAACTCAATCAGGTAGCAGAGAAAGCATTACTTACCAAAACATATAAATTCAGGAAAGGATGAAGAACAATGGAAAGATTAATATCTTAGTAAATATAAGTTAATATTGACTGTACAAAAAGTTAATAATAAAGTCTTGTGTGGTAAAAAAAAAAAAAGGTAGAATTAAGATGCATAACAACAATACAAAGGGCTGAAACAGAAATGGACATAAACTATTATTAGGTCATAACATTATCAAGGAAGAAGTTAAACTACTAATTTATATTAAACTTCATGAAATCAAGGAGGCATGTGATTCTAGGGCTGTGATTCTCATTGTAGTCTCAGGAACTTTTTCCACTCTTAAAAATTATTGAGGACTCCAATGAATTTTTGTTTTGTGAGTTGCATTTGTTAATATTTGTCATATTAGAAATTAAAACTGAGAAGTTTCAAAAAGCATTTATTCATTTATTCATTTGGAAATAACAGCATGTTAGATGTGGTGGTGCATGTCTGTAGTCCCAGATACTCAGGAGGCTGAAGCAGGAGAATAACGAGCCCAGGAGTTCGAGGCTGCAGTCAGCTATGATCACACCACTGCACTTCAACCCAGAAACAGAGCAAGAACCCAGCTCTAAAAATAAATAAATAAACAACAACAAAAAAAAGAGTACAAAAGCTGTAAACCAATAAGCCTATTACACAAATTATATAAATTATATGAAAAATAACTATTATTCAAAACAAAAAATCTAGTGACAGTAATAGTGTTGTTTTTATGTTTCTGAAAATTGTTTAAATATCTGGCTTAGTAGAAAACGGTTTTATCCTCATATCTGCTATTGTATTCAATCTGTTGTGATATCACACCCAGGGGAGGTTCTAGAGCATTCCACTATATAGTCATGAAGGAAAAGGGGAGGAAGAGCAAAATGTATTAACATTATTAATAAAAATAATTGTTATCTCAGACTCCTGAAGGACTCTTGGGCATCCCTATAAACCCCTGGACCACATTTTGAGAACCATGACCTTAAAGATACCAGTGAAATGATAGTAAAATAATGTATACGTAAAAAACTAATAGATAAAAATATCGAGAATAATTAATTGTTTCATTCTGAATTAAGGTTAAAAAGGGACAGAAAAAGGAACACAAACACATGGAAATAATAGAAAATAAGATAATAATTGAACAATTACATTAAGTGTAAATGGACCAATGCTCTAATTAAAAGACAAAGTTTGACAATATGGATTTTTTTAAATGTTGCTTACAAAATATGGAACATGCTCATGGATAGGACAAATCAGTATCATTAAACTGGCCATACTTCCCAAAGCAATTTACAGATTCAGTACTATTCTTGTCAAAATTACCAATGTCGTTTTTCACAGAAAGAGAAAAAAAACTATTCTAAAAATCATATGAAACCAAAAAAGAGCCTGAATAGCCAAAGCAGTCCTAAAGCAAAAAGAACAAAGCTGGAGGCATCACGGTAACCAACTTCAAACTATACTATAAGCGCTATAAGACTACAGTAACTGAAACAGCATGGTACTAGCACAAAAACAAACAGATAGAGCAATAGAATGGAATAGAGAATCCAGAAAGAAATCTGCACAACTACAGCCATCTGATCAACTTTTGACAAAGTTGACAAAAATAAGCAATAGGGAAAGGACTCCCTCTCAATAAATGGTTCTGGGATAACTGGCTAGCCATATGCAGAAGAATGAAACTGGACCCCCTACCTTTCACCATGTACAAAAATTAACTCAAGAGAGACCAAAAATTTAAATTTAGGACTTCAAACTATGAAAATCCTGGAAGAAAAACTAGGAAATAACATTCTTGACATCAGCTTTAGCAAAGAATTTAGGGCTAAGTCCCCAAAAGCAATTGCAACAAAACCAAGAATTGACAGATTGGACCTAATTAAACTAAGGAGCTTCTGCACAGCAGAAGTAACTATAACAGAGTGAACAGACAACATATAGAATGGGATAAAATATTCACAAACTATGCATCTGACCAAGGTCTAATATCCAGAATCTACAAGTAACTTAAATCAACAAGCAAAAAAAAAAAAAAAAAAAAAAAAAAAACACCCAAATAATTCAATTAAAAAATAGACAAAGGACATGAACAGACACTTCTCAAAAGAAGATATACATGCATCTAACAAACATGAAAAAATACTAATCATCAGATAAATTCAAATCAAAACTGCAATGAGTTACCATCTCACACCAGTCAGAATGGTGATTATAAAAACAAAAACGAAAACAAAACAAAAAAACAGATGTTAGCAAGGCTGTGGAGGAAAAGGACCACTTACATACTGTTGATGGGAATGGAAATTAGTTTAGGCACTGTGGATAGTAGCTTGGCAATTTCTCAAAGAACTTAAAACTACCATTCAACCCAGCAATTCCATTACTGGGTATATACCCAAAGGAAAATAGTTTATTCTACCGATAAGAAACTTGCACTCATATGTTCATCACAGCACTATTCACGTTAGCAAAGACATGGAATCAACCTAGGTGCCCATCAACAGTCGATTGGATAAAGAAAATGTGGTACATATACAAGATGAAATATTAATACTACACAGCCTAAAAAAAAATAAATCATGTCCTTTGCAGCAACATAGATGGAGCTGGAGGTCATTATCCTAAGCGAATTAATGCAGAAACAGAAAGCCATACTGCATGTTCTCACTTATATGTGGGAACTAAATATTGAGTAAATATGGACATGAAGACGGGAACAATGGACATTGAGGACTACAAGATGGGAGAAGGAGGGAGGGGGTAGTGGGCTGAAAAATTAATGATTGAGTACTATGCTCACTACCTGGTTAACAGGATCATCTATACCTGAAACCTCAGCATCATACACTATATCCATGTAACAAACCTGTACATGTACCCGCTGAATCCAAAATAAAAGCTGAAAACAAGTAAAATAATGGAACAAAAATATGATGTAAATATTAACTAAAAGAAAGCTGGTATAGCTCTACTAATAGCAAAGTAGACCTTAAGGCAAGAAGCATTATTAGACATAAAATGGAATACCACAAAATCATGAAAAGATCAATCCACTTAGAAAATAAAACAATTCTAAATGTGTAAGGATCTTTAAATTTGCTTTAAAAATATGCAAAAATCTGGAAGAACTGAAAGAAATACAGAAAACTACTTTCATAATGGGTGATAGCTAATAAAAGATAAAATCGGGCCAGGCACGGTGGCTCACGCCTGTAATCCCAGCACTTTGGGAGGCCAAGGCGGGTGGATCACAAGGTCAAGAAATCGAGACCATCCTGGCCAACATGGTGAATCCTTGTTTCTACAAAAACTACAAAAATTAACTGGGCGTGGTAGCGTATGCCTGTAGTCCCAGCTGCTCGGGAGACTGAGGCAGGAGAATCGCTTGAACCCGGGAGGTGGAGGTTGCAGTGAGCCAAGATTGTGCCATTGCACTCCAGCCTGGTGACAGAGCAAGACTCTGAAAATAATAATAATAATTAATTAATTAATTAAAAGATTAAATCGGTAGACAAAGGTGAAATAATATAGAAGTCCTAACCATCATGAGAAACAAAAATGACATAAGCAACATTTTTGAGCACTGAAATTGAGAAAGAATAAACATTTACCGAAATTTACCATATGTGCGATCATAAGGTAAGCCTGAACACAACTTAAAGGACTGAAATTAGATATAT